GCCAAGAAGGCGAATGGCATCCTGGGGTGCATCAAGAAGAGTGTGGCCAGCAGGTCGAGGGAGGTCATCTTCCCCCTCTACTCTGCCCCGGTGAGGCCGCATCTGGAGTACTGGATCCAGTTCTGAACTCCCCAGTTCAAGAAGGACAGGAAACTGCTGGAGACGGTCCAGCAAATGGCTACAAAGATGGTTAGGAGATTGGAACATCTCTCATATGAGGAAAGGCTTAGGGACTTGGGTCTTTTTAGTCTAGAGAAAAGAAGATTGAGGGGGAATCTTATTAATACTTAGAAATACTTAAAGGGAGGATGCCAGGGGGATGGGAACAATCTTTTTTCAGTGGTGCCCGGTGATAGGACGAGGGGTAATGGGCATAAACTTGAACATAGGAAGTTCCATCTTAACATGAGAAGGAACTTCTTTACTTTGAGGGTAGTGGAGCACTGGAACAGGATGCCCAGAGAGGTTGTGGAGTCTCCCACTCTGGAGACATTCAAAACCCGCCTGGACGCTGTCCTGTGCAATCTGTTGTAGGTGACCCTGCTCTGGCAGGGGGGCTGGACTAGATGATCTCTAGAGGTCCCTTCCAACCCTAACCATTCTGTGATTCTGTGATTCTGTGGAATAGCTATAAGGGAATAACTATTCTGCCAAAGTCGTTTTGGAATAGCTCCTTATGGCAACACCTAGCTCAGACTCATTACCCTTTTTTAGAGTGGTGGCATTGAATTGAAGTCTTACTCTGCAGACAGGACTGTCTTTAGCAGTGGCCACTCATTTGCCTTTTCTGAGGAGGCATCTCCCTTCCTGAGAGCGCTACTGTTGCTTCTCAGACTACTTTCCCTTCTAACACAGTCACCAACCTCTTTCTGCGGCTGCCCTTTCCCCACTTTTAGCAGCTCTCCTTTAGAGCCTAAATGTTCCTGACTGGAGATGTTAACTTAAATCTAGTTTAATGATCTCAAGGCTCCCCTGAATCAGATTTTGAAGGGAGACGCTTTATTTCTACTCGATCAAAATGCAGTTATTCTTGATTTGTACTAAGGCAATAAATAAAGTGTTATTCCCTTTGGTTTTGTTTAACATCTTTAGCTTTACCTGCTACTCCTGGAGTACTTATTAGACCCTTCAATAGGCAGGAATGATAGTATGCCTCTCCAGCCACCAGCTGTATATGGAAAGACATTTGTGTACCACACAGAAAATGAAGATATAAACCACAGATTATTCCACCAGCACTTCTGGCATCAAAATCCAGGTGCCTGCAGCGAGTTTAGCTCTACACAGCAAAGAAAGGAGAGTTAAGCCTGATTAACTTACTCTGCAGCTTATACCCTCTTCAGACACCCCTGGTGGCTTTGCCAGCTCCCAATGTACCTGCCGTGCATGTGCAGCGAAGGGCAAATAGGAGAGAAGAAAAGGGGAGGGGAATACAGAGTGTTGTCATGTGCCAGAATGTACAGGGAGACTCAGATCTACTTAACTCTTGCAGCCGTCTAACGGTACCTACAAGCTCGAGTCATTGACAGAAACTCTATTACGTGAGGGGCTGTATGATGTATAAAGACTAATCCTGATCTAAGGTGCAGCTGGGAATTCTACCTGGAAAATGCTTGATGGGATGTAGCGCTGCTAGTAGAGACTTCTGAGGACCTGTCAGCAGATCTTAGACTGCTTAATATATTTTAGGGTTTACAACTATTAAGGCCCACAAGTATGTCTTTTAGTTTGACATGACAAAAAGAGATGTCAAGAAAAAAGAAAATCAAACAGAATTATTGTAGACCATTGACTACAGAAGAAAATTTTCAGTTCCATGTAGGAAACTAGCCAAAGAGTAAGACCTGACTGGTGTAAGTAACCAGAGGGTGGAAATACGAGGCCTTTAGGGTGACAAAGGACGCTCTGGGTATGTTTACTTTAACGTAAATTTATACTACTGATAACAAAACAAGGGCTCTACCCTAGAGCAGTGTTCCCTGTCAGCGTCTGTTGTTCATGCTGTGGTTACTGCTTGCAGATGTAAGAGGCTTCTTCTTCCTCACAATTTAATTTCTGAAGCTTGGGCAAGATTTAGAACCAACGGCACCTGTGAGTATTTTTTCATATCTTAAGATATACGAGACTTTCAGCATTAAGATTCTTTACTGTTAAGTTGATATCGTTATACCACTTGCGTATTTCTTTCATTTAATATTTTAATTTGAAAACAATTTTGCTTATTCACATTTAATATTTCAGCAAAAGCAGTTCTCTAGAATGGTTCATATTTCTGGAACTGGTTCCTTAAATTTGTTTCCTAGTTCACGTCTGGGACTCAAATCCTTGTCCCCTGTCTCCTTGCTCCTGACCTCATCAGCTTCCTGCTCCCCGCTCTGTTTCCGCTCTTCTACCTAGAATGAATTGAACACCTGAGAGGGGACGTCTGTGATCATAAGCAGTTTTCACAAAGGGTTGAAACCTAGCGGGTTAGAATTTAAAACAAATTGAATGAACCATGCGGTTTCAAAGTCCTTTAAAGGAAAGACAATTGCCTATAAAGCATGCTTTTTTAACAGGTAGTTTATACCATACAGGATTGTTTGTATGTGTAAGTCAGAGAAAGCCAAGTAGGGTGCTGGTCTTTCAAGGTATTTTACACAGAAGGATTCCCTCTGCCTTTGCAAAAAAAAAATCTTAGAAGTTTCAATGCTTAAGCTATGTTAACAGAGGCTGTTTGCTCCCTGGAATGGAGTCACGACTGACAGCCAGAAGGACTGCTGGAAGCTCTCCAACGTCACTAACATGTTGTAGGACCAGCATGTGTCCCTTTTCTCTGCTCTGTTGTGCTACATCAGCACTACCAGGATGCAGATGGCTGCATTACTTGGCTATGTCTGTACTTCTCATGTTGTCCACCTTTCCAAGTCAGCCAAACCTTTCTACAATCCTCCTTATTAGATACATTTTCATAGATCTCAACCTGTGTTAACACAAACTGATGTGCTCTCCAGGTGGACTGTGATCCCATTTATAGTGCATCGGCAGCAGAAGTATGCCTAGGGCTTGTGCTCTGATAGTCCCCCTCAACTTCTTGTGTCTGTATCCCTGAGCTTGTCTCTCTACTGGTAAGGCCCTAAGAACAGCAGCAGGCTCCAATCGCCTTCAACATATCAGACCTCCACCCCTGCACCTCCCACCCATTAGCCACGGATATGCATTTACTCAGGCCCTCATCCTTGCTCCTCGCTTGAGCCATGTTGTATGTATACTGTGACTTGTCTAGTCTACAAGACTTTCTGGCCCTGTCTCATGGCTACGGGTTGTCTAGTGATCACTGACGGGACTGTGGTCTCAACCTCGTAGCATCGCTGGACCTGCTCTTCTTGTTCAGGTACTGCAGGACTGCCCGCTTGCCTGTGAGGTTACTGCTCCTGCCTGCCTTGCCATCACCTTCACGCCTACTCTGTCACCAGGACCTTCCAGTTCTCCTTCACAAGGTGAGCCCTGCAGCCTCAACTGATTTTTGAAGCACTGTCTGTTGAATGGAGAACTTCATAAATGGCTTGCTCTAGCCCCTTAGCTTGTGGACGTCTGGCAACATGAGCAAGAAGCTCTGCCAGCAAGTAAGAGACCAAAAGGTACCTGTTTCCATAACCAGTCTGGATATTGTCCTGCCCTGGGCAGGGGCAGTGCAGCTCAGACTTCACCAGGCCATGCTAACAGGCAGAAAGAAGCTGAGAATCCAAGACAAAATGCTTTCTAACTCTCTGAGCTCAATACTAAGCAGGTTTTCCTTGGTGCACACATTTAGCTGCACGTATCCTGGCCGTTCTCCATTTCCCACGCTGTCACGGGGCAGCTGGCAAACCTGCAGTGGTTCTTCCTTTCTCTTCTATGGATTTGACATGGACACTTGAAAGGTGCATACTGAAGGTTTTAAAAATGCTGTAAAATTTCATAATCATATGAAGCCTGTAATAAATCGAAAGCAATTGAGAGTTTGCCTTGTGCAGCGGTACGGATAAGCTGTAAGATGACACCCCCTATTGAATTCCCAGTCATCTTTGTGCCCGTATCTCAGCCATCCTAAGCGTTTATGCACTTTTTGATCAACACAGATCCTCTAAAGAGATGCAAAAGGTTATATTCAGTTCACTCTAGTGTGTTTGTTTTCCCTGTGATGGAGACTTTGGGCTTTTTTTAAATTGTGAAGTCCAAAATGTGTCCTACGGTAAGTAGAATAAATTTGTGGATATTCCTCTAAGCTGCGTACATTTAATAGGCTATTTTGGCATTTGGAGTGAGCTTAGAATTGATCTTGGAACAATCATCAGCTTTCTTTTGGTTTCTGGTATTATTTTGATCCTGGAACAAAAATGTTAACATTATTATTTGACTTAAATGGAACAAATCATTTGTATCTGGATCACAAAAAAAAATCACTCTCTAAGTTGTGGGGCTAGAAAATGAATTATTAAGTAGAAGCTGTAATTCTTAAGCACAGAGGAAATTTTGAAAATAAAGAACAACTAACGTAACTTAGTCATCCGAAATAGGGCAAGAATCTAGCTGCAGCTAAATAGCACAAGTGGTAAGTAACCTTACAGAATGGAGCGTCAAGAGCTGTGCTCTGAAATCAGATTAATCTGTCTTCTCTTTCAGATTTCTGCATGGTGCTGTGAATGCCTCACTCGGATATAATCCTCTGAAATATGACTATTCTTTAGTAACACGAATAATCCCACTGTTCTTGTTTAAATAAGGATTAATTATGTGAATAGTCCATTGGGAACTGCATCCACAGGAATAAAGGCAGATAATACAGGAATGAAAGGCATATTTTTGTAATGAATATTATTGGGATATCTAAAACACATACCCAAAAGCTAAGAGAGTGTGCCAAAACCCCGTGATCTTACCTACACATAAGGTGAGTATACCATTTGAATACACAGGTGTGCAAGTAAAGTAACAAACTGGTGAATCAGATCCTTTAGCACTGGAAAAGGGAAAAAAAAAAAAAAAAAGAAAATAGGAAGATGGCTTTGTTTGCTTCAAACACTACCTGGTTTTAAAAGATCTATGAGAGTTTAGCTGTATGTGGGAAGAGCTGGGGAAAACAGTAATTTGAAAATACCTTCAAATATACTTGAAACACCAGAACTCAATCTGACTTAGAGATTATTATTATTGGATTTATTGTTTAATCCTGTTGCAATTACAAAGATGTTAACTTCACTGAAGCACCACTTATAACCACCTTCAGAAACGAGGATTCTCAGCATGATGATAGATGTTTGCATGAATGATACTACGGCTGCCACTGATGCTGAAATAGGATTAATTCCCAACAGTACTAAGGTCAGGTTTCTAAGACGTGGGAATGTTGGCACCTTTGCATTCTCCCTTCATTTACTCCATTGCTCCAGCAACTCTAAGCTGCTCCTGGTGTTATGTATATAAATGTATGAAAGGGAACAGCATTTTGACAGCCCAATTTAGTAAAAGAAGAACAACACTCCATAAGAAAAAGAAAAAGCACTTTTCAGGGTTAAGGGCATGCTCTCTGCAAGCACACCATGTATTAGAGCTTCTCAAAGAAATAGTTCAAAAATCTTGGTAACTGCAGGTGTGTGGCAGCCTCGGGATAGGGACATGCACCAGCGCTCAGCACTCTCTAGTACTGTCATCATTGAAACTAAACCAAGAAAAGGGACCTAAAGGGTGGGTTGAAGGAGGATGGAGCCAGACTCTTCTCGGTGGTTCCCAGTGACAGGACAAGGGGCAATGGGTGCAAGCTGGAACATAGGAAGTTCTGTTCCAACACACGGAAAAACTTCTTTACAGTTTGGGTGACAGAGCACTGGCACAGGCTGCCCAGGGAGGTGTTGGAGTCTCCTTCTCTGGAGATTTTCAAGACCCGCCTGGATGCAGTCCTGAGTAATGTGCTCTAGGCAATCCTGCTTTAGCAGGGGAGTTGGACTAGATGATCTCTAGAGGTCCCTTCCAACTCTGAAAATTCTGTGATTCTGTGACCTGATATCCTCTGACACCGCAAAATATACTAAGGCTGAAGTTCTGTGTTGATACTCCTTTGTTGGATGATCAGGTCTAATAATCACTACCCTTAACCACTCATTTCTCTCCCCTTCATCCTCTGGAGTGTACCTTGCCTTGGTTGTGCTAATTCGGTTGTCTGTACAACTCCAGTTTCTCAAGCAGACTAAACACAGTCTGAGGCTGGGTGGCTGCTGCCCTCTTTTCCTGCTGCTGTTCCTACATCAGCTCTGGAGACTGTTCAGCTGCAGACGAATTGGATCAGAGACCTGTTCTCACTGAAAATGGACCTTTAAGGAAGAATTGTGTTTGAGGGCTAGCACCCACACAAGGAAAAGCATGGAAATATGAGGATGGCACGGGGTGGAATTTGGGACTGTCTTCTCACAGCACCGCGCAGTCATACTGGCTCAAACTGGTTGTGAAACTGCAGAGTAAATGGGACATGTGAAATGATCCTTTTCAAAAGCACCTTCAAATTTTCAGCCTTTTTTTTTTTTTTTTTCCCCACTGACCTATTTTGCAGCTGTTACACAAACAATTGCATCAGCACATAAAACGATGTGCTGAGCTGTGGTACAAAGATCTGTTGCCACACTGGAGACAGTCAGCTTTTTACCTAGAATTGCTGCCAGAGAAAATTTTCAGTGTTATGTGGTATGACAAAAAGGTTGGAGGTTGTAGAAAGTCAAGCAAGGAAATACACACCCTAAAATCCCTTAATGAATGGTTTTCAAAGCGCCGCCCACCTCTACAATATATGTAAATTCTGTGTAAAAGTGATAAAATTAAGCAGTCTCTAGGAGTACCTGACTTTTGCTCATGTTTAGTGTATTCTACTTCTGTTGTTAGGCTTTTGAAGTTCATGGGTTTCGAGATCATTGCATCTTACACTGGAATTTTGGGACACATTGTTGTAGTGGGAGCTTGGGCTGACCACTGCAATGGTTTTCTGAGTGGCAAGGTCCGCTCTCCAGCTGTGTCATGGCATTCAAAACTGGAGCATGGCCGCTACAACTGAAGTTGGACTCTAGTTCTAGAGTCTAGTTGATTCTGGTATAGTTGATTTGTAAGCTGCCTGTATTCTTCTGAAGCTGAATTAGACATACATATTATTTAAACATAAAGCTACATTTTCTATATGTACTTGCATCACCATTGACCGAAGTGACAGTTGATTATAAACGTTCCTAGACCACACTGGACTCAAAGGGTTTGTAACCAACTGGGCTCGTGTGTCTCAAAAGAAAATTCAAGAGTAAATATTTAGCCTCCGGGAATCATCTACACTAATGGCTTTTAACTCATTTTGAGTCTTCTAAAAATTTTCAAGGAAAAATGCAGAAGCTGCTATTAAAGAATGGTACACGTAGCAACACATACTCTTAGCTGATAAAAGGCTTTACTGGTGCTCCACAGAGCTGAGGCTCTGGCACCTGAAGGAAGGAAGCAAACTCACTCATTAGTGTTAACACAGAACCAGCGGCCTCTGTGTCTTCCCCTGCAGTATTTGATTTGCTCGCTTCAGTTACTGAGCCATCCAAGGAAAACAGGAAAGGCTGGAGAATAATCCATTTTATAGTCTTCGTTTTTCTTTTCATATTTTGAACACTGAACTAGTTTAAATGACAATGCTGTTCACGTTTATTACTGGCATCTGAATTACTAGCACATTAAATGAGCACAGATGTTATTCCCCTGAGCTATTCTGATTTTCGGCAAGCAAGCGTTCCCTGCCTGCAGTGTCATGCTTGCGAGGCTGCTCCGCAGGTATTTTTCTTTTAAAATGTGAGTCCTCAGATAAGAAGTTGAAAGGATGCATCATCATGGACTAAAGGAAGTGAAACTCTTATGACAAAATAAGACACTTTGCTTTGTTCGACTGTCAAGCAAACTATGCCTTAATTTGCTCGATTCCTTCAGTATAAACTTGTTTCCAGGTTTACATGCCAGTAACATGCATCCACGCAGCACTGCCAAACCTGATTTCCAGTTTACGTAATGCGTATTTGCATGTTTCCTCTCAACACTAAGCTAGTCTTTAATCGCAATACAGGTGGTGTTCGCATTTGAAAGACATAGTGTGTCCCCGCCGGGCCCGCCCCATCCCCCCCGGCAATGAGGGGACAACTCGTTTTGTTCAGCCCTGCCTCGCGGCTAAAGCATCGCCCAGTAGCTACGGGGGCACCTAAAGCTACCGACACCTCACGTCAGGACAGCCAGTCAGAAGACCAGGCTGTGCTTTCCC